TTTTACTTTTTCTTCAATTAAAATTCTTCTTTTAACAACCTGATTGCTTTTTCATTGTTCTTAAGATCCAAGGGTTTGGGTCTGTGTTCACCTATGCAAATTGGTGAGGATTTTTATCAAGCCTTCCCCAGGAAAGGGGGTGTAGGGCTTAGGGGGATTTCTGGGGGAAAGACTTTCTAAGTGGGCTCTTTCCCAGTTATATTTGTTAGAAGCTTGGTGCTGGCAGCAATAAAGTCCAGGGACAAAAGGTAAAATAGTTTGTACCTTGGGGAAGTTTTAACCTAAGCTGGTAAAAATAAGCTTGGGGGTGGGGTTTCATGCAGGTCCCCACATCTGTATCCTAGAGTTCAGAGTGGGGAAGGAACCTTGACAGTGTCCATCTTGATATACTTTTCCAGTTTCTTTGATCTGGGTACATTTCATCTTCCTTTATTGAATGTATTTACATAGGCAATCCCTGAGAAGGGGATGTACCATCATGGTGTGTTTTTTTTTCAAAATCATTCACAACTGTAATAATTAATCTCCTATAAACAGGTCAGGGTTCCTATTTTTTCCTGCCTCTCATATTTATCCAAACATTCTTTTGAAAGTTTATGCCCAGAATAATTATATCTCAGCTCAAATTAGCATTCTTGAACCTTTAAGGTGATTGTCTACTCTTTGATTAAATCATTGTAGCATGCTAACTAACCTCTGTTCAAATGTTTATTGTCCCTGGTTTAGGGTCTTACCTTGAAGAGACATGATTGCTATTTTCCAGTAATTCTATATTAACATGATTTTACTCCATGTTACAGATGAATTATTAATAGTTTAAAGTTGATACACCTACCAATAAAATGTTAAAATAAAACCTATTAATTGTACCAACTATAATTAAATGATTCACCTCTATAAATATAAAATAGATAGAAATGGCCAGAAGACATTGACAATCATCAGGAAAGGTGAAGAGAGTATATTGCCAAACAAATATACACTGAAATAAAGTAACCAGTACAATTACATTTTTCCACATTATGCATTTCTAAAATATTTTTGTTTAGTAACATTATTAGAGCTATTACACACTGAGAACGATGCAAAATCATTTAATGGTTCAATATAGACCGATTTTAAACTACTAGAGTAGTTCAGTTAAAGTACTTCATTTTGGAATACTAGAGTTGTCCTAAAAATAAATTATTCCCATAATTTTATACCATTCTAAATTGAAAGCTCAAGATCCTGATAATTTTCAGACCTCAGTATTTATGGTAGGGAAAGAAAAGGAAAACGAGCACTCAGAATAGCAGTAATTTGTTCTGCTTTGCACAAATACACTTTTGGATTTGCATTCTTGAATGAACTCAGATATCTATGCAAAGTCTGAAGTTATTTGCACTTATTCAAACTTTAAAAAGGAGAAATCAAACAAGGTGAAGCCAAAAAGAGGCAAAAGAGGAGATAAAAGTGCAGGCGATATTATATGGTGTTGAGCTGTGCAAAATTTCCACTATGAAACTCAAAACCATAAGAATGCAGTGATCCAGCAGAGCCAGTGAAAACTGAAAGACTTAAATACAGCTGAGGAGACATCACAAAGGGGGAAAAGGAGAGAGAAACCCAAGTGGGAGTGGACTGGGGAAAGGACTGCAAACAAGATTGGTCCCCGACTTTCAAAAGTGCTAATCGCTCAGCAGCTCCACTGAAATCAATGGGAACTGCAAGCTGATCTACATTTTTTTTAAAATCAGGCCACTTATTTAAGCATCTAAATATGGATTTAAGACACCCACTAATTTTAGACACCCATTTTTGAAAATCTTGGCCTGCAAATATTATTTAGCTCCATCACTGGTCAACAAGGAAACTGGAGAGAGCCATGATTGAGAGGGGCTTGGGAGATGAGTGTCCTGCAGAGCATAAGGGAGTTGAGGTTGTGATTCCCTAGAAAAGCAAGGACAAGAAGGGAACAAGGCTGCCTCCTTTCCAATGAGTCAAATTGATATCCAACTTTGTACTCTTCTCTTCTACTAAGCCATGTCTTTTAAAACAAATTGTATCCCTATGGCCATTGACACATGAAATGTAACAATCAGCTGAGCTGTTAAGTTATTCTCTCTTCTAGTTTCTCCTGGATGCCCTTTCATCCATGGCTGAACTCTATTCCCACTCCCCCACACACTACTGCACTGAAAGAAACCTGTCACTTTTCTCTCCTTCAGCCCAGTTCTTGTCTAGGTCCCAGATCCTCAAAAGGTAGTTAGGCACCTAAATATTGTTGAGGATCTTGGGTCTAGGCATATATGCTGAGTTTCTAATGTGCCAGGGAATGCTCCCCCTGGCTCCACCCCAGGCCCGCCCCCACTCCACCCTTCCCCCAAGACCCCACCCCAGCTCTGCCTCTTCCCGCTCTGCCCTCACCCAATCTCTTCCCGCCCCATTTCACTCCCTCCCCCAAGTGCTCCCAGCCCTTACTCCTTCCCCCTCCCCCTCACGCAGTGCAACAGCTGATCACGGTGGGTAGGAGGCACTGGAGGACGGGGAAGGCACTGATAGGGCGGCTGCTGGAGCCAGGGCTGGAGCACCCACAGAATTGGTGCCTATGGGTCTAGGTGATTTTTCCATGCATCCAACAGGCTGAAATACCTTCTGAGAGAGAACTTCTTAGTGTGTGCCCTTTCTTTACTACTGTTTTAGAGGTTGTATGTTTAACTTTTCTGAAATAGTCTGTGAGATTCCCTGAACATTCAGAAGGCCAGATTCTGAACTGGTGTAAAATGGTATAAATCTATAGAAGTCAAGGAAGTGACACCCACTTACACCAGCTAAGAGTCCACACACACCCCCGCCATGTTGCAAGTGGTCTGTCTAATTAAAAAAAGATTTATTTAAGAATAAAGTGAGAATCATATTAAAACAAAATGAATGTTCTGAATAACATATCTAGTTCAACACCCACATCTAGATAGGTCCCATGAGGTTGAGTTGCAGTGAACAAAAAAGGATTTTGTAGTTCCAGCAATCCTTTCTCACCTCTACTCTCTTAACCATGTAGCTCATCAATCAGACACTTTCTCCTTTAAGTCTCTTGAGTTTTCTGTACCCCCTGCATCCTAATCCTTTATAGTGTATAACCATTTTTAATATTAAAGGTGTGACAAAATTAATTACCATATCAAGCATGTAGGTTATATCAGCATTTCAGCAATGTAGAGTTTGATCTAGTGAATTATCTGGGGGAAGTGAAATAGTCTCTGTTCTCCATAAAATAGCTATTGTTCCCTGTATCTGCTTACATCCCCACTCCCTGTCTAACTCCGGATAGATTTCCCACTTTCCCGTTTCAGAACCTAATATTTCAAATCCCACTTTGATCTTGCCTGATCTTTTGTCAGCGAAAGAGTTGAGGTGACAGGATCTGGGTTTGCAAATAAATTGTTCCTGGCTGGAGGCAATAGTTAAAGCCAACTTCAGGCTGTCTTCAGAAGAACAGGATTTACATTTATTGTGTAGCTTCTTCTTACGGGTAGTTCTACTCAAAGCACATATGAAATGTTGGACGATTAAATCCAGTGTGCCACAAAAAATGCTCAAATTCCTTTGTAAAAGAGCTCAGGAGTAAGGGTTGTCTGAGTGTTACATCTCTATAGAAAAATCAGAATCATGCTAATTGAATACGGTTGCCTTCAGCAACTTCCACCAGTAATACTCTGCATTCTTCTTTGAACCAATTATTATTGGCTGAAGGCAAGGGGGTGTTGGAAATGGTTGATCAAATACATTTATTGAACAAAATATGGCCTCATTTCTCGATTAATCAACTTAACAGTTAGCATTTGACCAGCTTTTGTATAAAGTGAGAACAAAAAGACAAGCTAATTCTTATTTCCAGCTCTAAAACTATGGACTCTAAATATAAACAAGAAAATAGGTCCATGAATCAGGGAAATAACTGTACATGTATTTAGGATGGAAAACTAATGTGCAAGAAAAAAAATCAAAAGAACTCTTACTGTATAATATTTATTAGTTCTTATCTAAACTTCTTTCTGAAAAGAGTATTACCAAAAGACTCTTATGCCTCCAAGTGTCTACTCAGAAGATGCTCACTGTTCGCTCCTTCCTTCTCAAAGCAAAAAATAACTAAATAAATAAAAAATAGGCCTGGTGCTGTGCTCTCAGTACAGCCCTGTTAATCTCACCCACAGGTAGTATCTGAGAGAAGATGCCTTAGCTTTTGATTCCCACCATTTCCCAAGACTGTTGAGGTAGTCAAAGACTCCTTCCACTACCAGTTAAGCACAGTTTCTGCAAAAACTCTTTGGTCAAACTGTGTAGCTTTGGTGTTCAACTCTAATTGGAGGTCTAGGGCTCTCCCATTTATGAAGAGCTGCAATTAGGATTTGCAGTTACATTCTTTTGGTGATATCTTTCCATGAGTCTACTGCACATGGCTGCCATCATCCCCAGTGATATGCAGCCTCACTCTTTTCCCTTTTGTTGGAAGCTATGTAATGATCAGAGACAGCCACTGCTTTTCCACCTTGGCTAGGAGGCTCATTCTGCCTGCAAAGCTGAGGCAACATTTTGGTGATTAAGAAATTTTTTAAAAAATGGAAAGTGGTAACTGGGAGTCAGAGAGGACTCAACTAGCTTGGAAGTGGATATATTATAATAATTGATCTATATGTGAAGCTTCCAAACCCCAGAGTATTATAGAAGTACTACCAGAGAAATTCTCCAGCCTCCATTTTGTGAGTCTAAACTCTATTCTGAATAAGCAGGAGTCACTCCACTCCAAGATGGAAATTGTAGATATTGAGCATGCTAGGTGCTGAAAAAGGGTGAAAAGTGTTGTTAATTGGCAGAAAGCTCAGGAACACTAAAATTGCATCTTGGCAAATGGCCAAGTGGATGAAAGGCCAGTTGAGGTAAACAACTAGCTCAAGATCCTGCCTTGGCAAAAAGCCAAGTGTGTGAAAAGGCCGGCAGAATCATAACTCTGAGGTAAACAGCAACTGTGAGCATTTGCAAAGTGTTGACATATATACAAGAATGAGGTAATGTTTAGTAGCAAAACATGCCCAGACAAAGACCTGGGAGCTGATAGCACTGTGTAACAGTCAGATGCTCAGGAGCAGAGTTAGCAATCAGGAGAGGATGGACAAAGAGATTAAAAGACTGCAAGAAAAACTGATGAAAAAGAAGTTAGAAGCTGCTAAGAGACCTGACCGCAGAAGATTGGAGTGGAGGTAAATGACCAGAGCTGACCAAGAAGCAAGCAGAAATAGCAGTAGCAAATAGAAGCAGCAGTCAGATACAGAGATTAAAGAGTAAAACCAAAGTATTTATAAAGTAAGTCTTCTAGTTTTTTAATGATAATATAGCATAAATATAGGGTAGGGTAGTGTATAGTATTTGTGTGTGTGTGTGTGAATAAGAATGCATAAATTCTGCTTTTAATTGCAATTTACCTATGTAAAATTTAGGGCATATTTAAGAATTTCTATCAGCAATCTATAGAGGACTGACCATCTGTTATAGAGCACATTGCTTAGAGTCATTTAATGTATGTATGCTTAGAGTTATGTATACTGTTGTAGTTTAAAGGTTCTTTAGCTTTCAGTAAGGGATTTGTGAAAGGGACTTATGCCTCATTTAGGATTTTAGATTACATTTCAGTAGGGATTGTTGCTTACATTAATAAAAGATACTTTGTTTTGGAAAGCGTGCTACCTATGTCAATCACTTTATCAGAAGGTATATCCGTGACCTTCAAGGATTTTCTGACCTACTCTGGAGTCCAATACCCCAGGCAGAGCCGATTAAGGGAGAATAGGCAGTTTCTTCTAGGGGTGCCCTAAAGCCTAAATTTCAGGGTAACAGAAGTACCTAGATTATGACACAGTACTGATTGATCCATGATACAGTCTCATTTGTGTAATGAGCCTAAAGATTGACCAACTCCTTGGGATTGTGATTTCCCCCCTGTCAAAACCATACAGCTAAGGGTAGCCTAGAATTCCTCCTTACCTGTAAGGGGTTAAGAAGCTCAAGTAACCTTGTACAGTTAAGGGTAGCCTAGAATTCCTCCTTACCTGTAAGGGGCTAAAAAGCTCAAATAACCTGGTTGGCACCTGACCAAAAGGACCAATGGGGAAAGAAGATACTTTCAAATATTGGGAGGAGGGGGAGGACAGCTTTGTTTTTGTGTGTTCTCTTGGGAAGCAGAGAAGCATCAGGTCAGAAAACTTCTTCTCCTATAAACCATCCTAAAAGTCTCTCATATTACAAAAATTGTAAGTAAAAGCCAGGCAAGGCATGTTAGATTATCTTTTGTTCTGCTTGTGATTTTTTCCTTTGCTGGAGGGAGGTTTATTCCTGTTTTTTTGTAACTTTGAAACTAAGCCTAGAGGAAGTTCTGCTGTGTTTCTGAATCTTTTGTTACCCTGTAAAGTTATTTTCCATCCTGATTTTACAGAGGTGATTTTTACATTTTTTTTTTAAATAAAATCCTTCTTTTAAGAACCTGACTGATTTCTCTATTATCCTAAGACCCAGGGGTTTGGGTCTGTGATCACTTTGTAACCAATTGGTTAGGATATTATTCTCAAGCCTCCCCAGTAAAGGGGGTGTAAAGGCTTGGGGGGATATTTTGGGGGAATAGGAACTCCAAGTGGTCCTTTCCCTGGTTCTTTGTTAAATCACTTGGTGGTGGCAGCATACCCTCCAAAGGCAAATAATTTTAACCTAAGCTGGTAGAAATAAGCTTACGGGGTCTTTCATGCAGGTCCCCACATCTGTACCCTAGAGTTCAGAGTGGGGAGGGAACCCTAACACCCCCCATTCTCCGATAGTGAGTCCAGTTTGCTCCCTAACCATATGCAGAGGTTATGCAGTTCTGCGGCCATGCTTTCCCACCCCCAGACTCTTGACGAAATATGCACCTCTGAAAGTATACTTTTTGCTTCTGTCTCTGTGTCTTACATTGGTTGCACATTTGACCCTAGTACCCTCAATCCCCCTGTGTCCGCACACAAAGGCCGCTATATGTCACCAATTTAAGAGTACAATACAACATATTAGTAAGAATAGATGAAAAATATTAGCAAGTAACTAGTGAGACTGAAAAACCCTGGTCACCCTTGAGGTCAAATCCCTAATTTATCCCCCAATTTGGCCTCCATTTCTGAGCACATTTTTGTCTATTATTACTAAACAAATGAATTTGGCACAAGTGATACTGTATGCAAAGTGTATGTGCAAAAGATTGCATATATGCAAAATTTTACATACACAATCAGAGTTTGAACCTTTTAGACAAGTGGTGGGCAGCCTGCGGGCCACATGCAGCTCGTCAGGGTAATCCACTGGCGGGCCACCAGATAGTTTGTTTACATCTGCACGGCTGCCCGCAGCTCCCAGTGGCTGCGGTTCACCATTGCCGGCCAATGAGAGCTGCAGGAAATGGTGCGGTCCACAGGGACCTGCTGGCCGCTGCTTCCCGCAGCTCCCATTGGCCGGCAACAGTGAACCATGGCCACTGGGAGCTGGGGAGGCTGTGCAAACATAAACAAACTGTCTGGCGGCCTGCCAGCGGATTACCCTGACAGGCCACAGGTTCCCCACGACTGTTTTAGACTTTCCCTCCCCTCCTCCCCCCACAAGTTTAGATATAGTATTTTAAAATTGATGTTCCAAACAATTTAAAATAAATCTTACCCATGCCTGTCCTAGAAATCCTACTATGAAACATCTAAAATGTGTTCAGTAACACTCTAATACAAAAAAATCAAAAGGCAAGAAATAAGGGCACTGTGTTAAACTTGTTAGTTTAGATTTTTTGAGAGCAAAGAGAATTTAGTCTGAGGCCACTCCAGTTAGCACATGTAAATGGTTGAACTATTACATTGTTATTGGTTGGGTGATTGAGTCACATGGCTGAAAATAATGGAAGTAGCACCCAAAAACACAGGCAGATGGAAATGCTGAGAAGCTGAATCATGTAACCAGAGGGTTTTAAAATCCAGGGATCGAGGCTTTAATTGATGGAACTGTGTGTGTCTCTTTGTGTGAAAGACAAGTTGAGTACATACAAGAAACTGAGAGAAACTCAGGGAGAGAGAGAAAAAAAAGCCAAGCAGAAGTCTGGAGCATGAAGTGTGTGGCTGACTGACTATATCCTCTAATATCCTGAACAAACATTACAGAATTAAGTTAAACCTTATTGAATTATGGTTAATAGCTTTGGGGCACATGGTATTAAAAACGTAATTGTGTATGTGGTGGTGTGTCTTTTCATGTACCTTTTCTAGCAAGAAGGGGGGATGCTAGTGAACTTCTTCTGTTGTTATCCTTTGAAGCCACCATCCGCGAAGATATGCATATGCTGGTTCAAACTGGATTCTCCAACAGAGAGACCAACAGAAAAATAAAAGACTTTTGGACAAAAGCCTGAATTTAAAATGACTCAGGTCCTTCTTCCTGATCCAGTTAATGGACAGGACCCCTAGTCTATGGAGAGCCCAAATCCTTAGAGGAAGATATGAAGGACTTAGTCTACTGAGGCCCCATAAGACTGTGTGCTTGTTCTGAGCTGAAGCTCTGATGAACTTGTAACGACGAAGAAGCCCCTATGGAAGGGTGATGCCTGATAAGCTTATTAGCATGTGTTCCTAATAATGTTCTTTTAATATTCCTAATAATTTTTTTCACTGTGAGGTTTTTTACCTAAAATAAAGTAGGCTTGCTTAGAAAGAGCTGTATGGTCACTTATATCTGTAGCAATCACTCTGTTATGTGTCACTGAAGAGAAAGCAAGGAAGTCTGTATAGTCAGATGGTTTTGCTGGGAAATATCCAGTGAGGGCAGGGAACTGTGCAGTCATGGAATACCCTTGTCAGAATAGAGAAAGATGCAGTTGCCCACCCAGAAAGACAACAGCTGAGGAGCTGGAAGCTGAGGTATTGCCCTTGCTGAACCACTGAGTTGGTGCAGTTGCCCTGCTCTGTGACAGTACGGCCCTGGGAGAAGCCAAGAGAGAATTCTGGGTTGGGATGCTGGCTGAGAGAAGCTTGGGTCTATAAGCAAAAAAACCTACTCCTTTTTTTTCTCTTTTTTTGTGCATGTGTGATTCTCCTAAATTTGGAGAAGTGGGACGTTGTATGTTCCTTTTAAAAATACCTGAGTGTATCAAAGAAAGCACCAGTTCCCATTTCTCCTTCATCAGTTTCTGCTCCCAAATAGAACTTCTGCAGGACCCCAAACTTTGACTAGCTGCTTTGGCCAAAAAGGGACACCAATATTTTAAGATAGGATAACAATTACTGATTGACTGCTAAGAGAGCAAAGGGATCAGTAAAAGAGCTGGCACACTGTAAAGAAGACTGCTCTATTGTTCATCAAAGTTTCCTATGACTAAGCAGTTATTTCAAAACAAAACAAAAATCTCGCAGTCCAGCACATTCTGGTGTCTCATCCATCATAGCAGACACTTTTCTGATTTGATTGAAATGTTTTTTTTATTTAAACACTGCATTGATCACAGCAGCAGCTTGCTGATGACTGCCTGGACAAGCCTGGGCGAGCAGATATCTTATCCAGTTATGGCAATTATAGGCAAGAAGAGGCCATCCACTTGCAAACCCTATATTGTACAATGTAGGAAGCATAAATAGTATCAGGGTATCAGTAGATTTTTTGTGGAAATTTCTGTCATAGATACAACATATTTTTCTGAATGTTATATAGCTTTTAGCTTGCACTTCCATCTAGTCCAGCAATTTATTATGTATCTGTACTACTAATGTATAATTTAATTTGACTTATAAAACAGATAAAACATTTTGATTTTGTATTTATACTACCTTATACATTTCTTGGGTAAGGGTTAATGGCTTCCTCCATGTACTGGACACCCCTAAGTATATTTTCAGTATTCAATATATAATAGATGATGACAATCTTAAGGAATGATGCAAGTTTGTATTTAATAGGAGGAGGGAATATTTTCTAGAGATGTGTGAATAATTTTAGAAGCTCAGAATTTTAACAAAACTCACAATTATTTAGGTCCATATTCATAGCTTTGTAAGGCCATAAGGTATCCTCATGATTATCTAGCTTGACTCCTACAAACAGGCCATAGATTTCATCCAGTGCATCCTTCATCTAGACCAACAACTGGTAGTTAAACTAGAGCATATCTTTTAGATCTGTATCACCTTTCGTTTCTCTGAATCTTCACAAGTCGCCAATTGTGTTGAAATTCATCTATGACCCTTTTTAGGTCTCACCCTCTCCGCTGGGCAGGTGGCTCATCTATCACACAAGTTTGAGAAAGTTGAAGGAAAATATATTCCTAGGTCCCCCTTACCTGAGAGACTCCCAACAATGCAAGATTAAATAAGAACAGCTGGACAGAATTCACCTTCTGGATAAACTGCAGAGCAGGAGGGGCTCATCTGGGCCTTGGCTTGGCCACTTTTAAATAGGCAGGGCCCATTGTAACTACAGGCAAACTACAAGCAAACTAGGCAGCTGCCTAGGATGACTAGGGTTGCCAACTTTCTACTCACACAAAACTGAACACCCTTGACTCACTGCCTGCCCCTTCCTTCCTCTGAGGCCCTGCCCCCTGCTCACTCCTTTCACCCTCCCTCTGTCACTCTCTCTCCCCACACTCATTCACTCGCTCATTTTCACTAGGTTGGCTCAGAGGATTGGGGTGCGGGTGAGGGTGACGGTTCTGATTAGGGATGCAGGCTCCAGGGTGGGGCCAGAAATGAGGAGCTCAGGATGTGGAAGGGGGCTCTGGGCTGGGAGGTGGAGCCAAGTTGTTAAGAGTATGGGAGGGGGCTCTGGGCTGAGGCAGGGGGTTGGGGTATGGAAGATTGTATGGGCTCTGAGCTGGCGGTGTGGGTTCTGGGTTGGGGCCAGAAATGAGGGCTTCAGGATGCAGAATGGGGCTGCAGGCTCAGGCTGAGAGGTTCAGAGTGTGGAAGGGGCTCCTGGCTGGGTCAGGGGGTTGGGGTGAAGGTGTGTGTGTGATGACTCCAACTGGGGGTGAAGGCTCTGGGGTGTGGCTTGGGATGAGGGGTTTGGTGTGTAGGAGGGGGCTCCAGGCTGCTATTGAGGGGTTTGGAGGGCGGGAGGGGGATCAGGGTTGGGGGAGGAGTGGAAGGGTGCGGGGCAGGCTCTGGGTGGTGATTACCTCAGGCAGCTCCTGGAATCAGCAGCATGTCCCACTCCAGCTCCTGCATGGAGGCACAGCCAGGCAGCTCTGTGTGCTACCCCATCCACAGGTGCCACCTCGCAGCTTCCATTGTCCACGGTTCCTGGTCAATGGGAACTGTGGAGCTGGTGCTTGGGATGGGGGCAGCATGCAGAGCCCCTGGCTGTCCCTATGCCTAGGAGCCATAGTAGGGACATGCCGCTGCTTCTGGAAGCTGTGCAGAGTGATGGCAGGCAGGGAGCCTGCATTAGTCCCACCGTGCTGCTGCCAGACTTTTAACGGCCCAGTCAGCAGTGCTGACCAGAGCTGCCAGTGTCCCTTTTCAACTGGGCATTCCAGTCGAAAACCAGACACCTGGCAACCCTAAGGATGACAGATTCAGCCAAGGGTGGAAGGGGTGGCCAGGCCAAAGCAGAGAGATTCTGTGACCCCATGCACCAGGTCACAATGCCACTCACTCAAATTTGTCAGTTCCAAACCCACACTTGTGCCATACCCACCGAACCATGAGAAGGCTCGCCATGTCTTCCTGCCTGGAAAGTCTGATGCACCTCCCCAGGATACTGCAACCTCCCAGTGGACAACCCCTTCTCTAGGGCATAGGAGGGGGTTATCTGAAGGTTATTGTATGGAACAAACCTTTGTTCCCCACAGCCCCATTTGATAATTTCTGTCTTGAATGGAATGTCACCAAAGAGCAAGATACTTAGGAGCCAGGGGGAAGGAATTTGGCACACAGGTGATTTTACTAGGTGTCAGGGAAATGGAAGAATGGGGATGAATAAATGATTAAAGATAACATTGAACACTGAGGAAAGTGAAAGATGTGCAGAAGGTGGAAAAGAGTTAGCGGGAAAATTGAATAGAGGCCAGAAAAGATTCAGGCATATTCAGAGAAGCTTCAGATCTGTATGCAGTGCAGATAATAGTCAGTGGGTGTATTTGAAATGAACCTTTTGAAGTTTGCCCATCATTAACATTTACACAGAAGATCTTCTAGGCACTTAAGATATGTTTAGAAAAGATGAATCAGAAATTCTAGTCACTGCATTTTAAGGCAGTATGTCTATGTTAGTAGGAGCTAATGCATATTTTAGTTTGTTTGTTTTTTTATTTCAGTTTTTGTACCTTCCTCATCTAGCAGCTCATTAGAAAGATTGGTGTACATTTCAGCTTGCTGGTTATTCTGCATCTGATTCTGCATCATGTAGTACCTTCCTTTCCTAAACCAAAATACCTTTTAAACTGTGTTAGTTGAAAAACAGGCGCATAAAATGTAAACTGGAAAGTGCATGGGTCCTTTACCTAATGCTTGTCTCTCCTTTTCCTTTCAGCTGGTCTGAGGGCAGCAAGCTGCTCTCAGCTCTCCATTTACAAGTATTTTGTAAATGTAAAGCTGTACAGTAATTCTATCTCTCCCTCTCACTCACACCCATGACTTAATACAAAATCATTTGTTTTAATATTACAAAATAATTTTAGAAATTATTCTATGCCCATTACAATCACTATAAACAGAGTTATCAGAATCAGACAAAGAAACACCACCACAACAAATCCCAGCAGACTAGCAGATATCTGGAAAGTTCTTAAAAAAAAAACCCAAAGCAAACCTAAATAACATATATTGCATATCATGTGGCTCAAATAAATCCTGCAGTAGGCTAATGGTGTAGGGGTAAATCCCATGGCATCTATACAACATATTGAGAATAGTCATACTATGTTAAATCCATAGTAATCATATATTTTTATTTGGAGATTGTTATTAAACTGTCTGGAAAATACATCATTAGCCTAATGTTAATTAATGATTAGGTAAAACATTAGCCCAGGGGTGACCGGTTTGTCTGCTTATACTGAATATCAAGTTTGTTCCTGCCTCAAGTCTTTCTTGCTTTTAGATTATAAAGAGTTCTTTAACTAAGTCTGAGAAAATTGTTAAGCTTCATTATTACATATTAATGACTTTATTCTACATTTGATCTTTGTACAAAATAATTGGAGGTCTATGTGTAGAATTGTAATGATCTCGGATGGATGTAAATATAGTGAAGGAAGAGTTGGCATTTCATGTTTAAGTGAAGAGAACAAAAGGGAGAAAGGAAAAATGGAGTGAAATAAAATGCAGCAACACAACCATGTTGAGGAGTATTATGTAACTGGCAGGATAATTTTACTGGCTTAGAGGAAGAGAAGCTGAGAATGTAAACAAAGCGGTCTTGATATGGCCATACTGTGGTGCTTGGGACTTTAAGGACTCAGCTTCCCAGAAAGCGATTTGGGGTGGGGCACTGTGAAGCTCTTGTTGTTCTGCACAACCGACTGGAACAAAATACAGAAAAAGCAGGTCTTAGCACTTAGCACTCCTTAAACACTAAGATCCTCCACCTGCCCAGGAGGGTACACCCCAGGGGACAGAAACAGAGGCTGGGAGCTGTTCTTTGGTACCTCAGCCCCCAACCCATGGAAAGTGGAGAGTTTGGGGCTCCACACAGCAGCCTGAGTTCCCTGGGCAGCTTTTACCACAGCCCACCTCTGGCTTCTAGCAGCATGGTCTCAGGGGGAAGAGGAGGAGCAGTGGCAGGGTAACGGAGTGGGTGGGGCTCCTGCATGTGTCCTGCTTTTGCCTTTTGAAAAAGTGGTCACCCTGCTCCCAACTTAGGCCAACTTAGGCAGCTCCCTGCCTAGCGTGCTTCCTTTTATGGATCCTATTCTTAGGCACCTATCTCTCCCTTTGCATTGTATAGGGAGCCTAGGTGCCTAACTCAGGCTTTGTGGATTCTATTGGGTGGTTAGGTGTCTACAAGGTAGGCATTGAAGCACTCATTGGCTATGTCTCTTTGTGGATTTGGGACTGAGTAATCACTGAACACCGCACAGAGAGCACAGTGGTCTGTAGAGTGCAAATAGGAGCCTTCCTCTAGACAGCTAGATTCACAGCAGATTTGAGTTCCAGAGCAAACAAACTAGAGGAGTTCATGCTTAGAAACGGTCAAATATACAGCAAAGAAACTTGTATTCTGTGTTCTGTTTTTAACAATGCAGGTAGCAGTCCTGTGCTATTAGAATATATACTAAATGTATCCACAGCCTTCAGATATTGTATGCTGGTTCAGTTGGCAAGCTTCATTTCATCTCAATTAAACAAGAGGAATCAGGAAATCCCCTACCAAAGCATAAACAAGTTAAAATTAACCCTGCAGAGTTCCAGGGTCTTCTACCCATGCAGTTTCTTGTGTCATCCCTCTGGAGACAGCACACAAATTGGCTGTAATTCAATCCATAGAGCAGAAGGCAGAAATTTCTTGCCACAAACAAACACAGCCCCAGGACATTTTATTCTCTTCAATACAGGATTTATGGCTCCCTTAAGCCACAGTAGAAATGCTATTAAGGGAGGAAAAAGGCCTGAGAAGATTGTTATATAGACATCTGTACTTGGTGGTGAGCAATTTAGAAATTCAAAAGCTAAGACCTAAATCATTGTTGCCTCTGTGGATGCACTGGTGGCAGGAGACAATATTGCAAGTCCTTTCCTCCTCACACTCCCCTGAAAGAGATAGACACAGTTTCATAGGCATATATATTTTAAGCCCAGAAGGGACGTTTAGTATGATCATTTAG